CGTTGTTTTGGATGAAATATCAACATTAATTTTCAAATTGAAGTTTGTTATCGGTCGGGTAGTGCATTCATTCCAATGTACCTAAGCTTGATGAAAGTACCAGTCCATGCTTTTTCGGTCATTTCAGTATCTCTGTTGAAATTGTGTTTCATTTTATTGCGTTCAGCGAACTGGAAAGTCAATTTCCTTACATCCTTCAAAGTCGATCCTTAAAATCGCATTTTCAGTTCTAAAATGTATTGTACCAACTCTTGTTCTTGTTCAGGCGTAAAAATTGGGCCTCGAGACTCCAAAACTTTTTTTTACCCCAATAAAATACCTCCCTACTAACGCGCGGGTGGTAGAAACAATGCAAACTGGGCGAAACGTTTAGTTGGATTAAATACAGTTACACTGTGACCCTTAAAATTATTACAATGGCAGTGAATTCCTATACCTTGCTAACACTTAGTTTTGTAGGGAGGTACAGAGTCAATTTAAAAAAAAAATGTTTGTGGAAATTTTAGTAATAAAAAAAGCGTACTTTTGATACGAAGTTTTGTAAACAAATTATTTACTTTAGAAATATATTAGAGATTTGAACTTTATCCAGGCATATTTCTAAAATTTACTTTCAACAACTCGAAAATAGCTTTGTGTCGTTTCCATGTGACATCTCGTAATGAACTTCTTGCAAAATTTGTTATAGCTGTCAAAATTCGGCATGCAGTATGGTCATATATATAAGAGAAGTATATATGAGTATGGTAATAGGCAAGTGTATGGAGATTCTCAATACTTCTGTTAAGTTATAAGACAAAAATTCATAAGGTTCAAGGAACAGCTGACCTGAACAGGCGAAGACTAGCAGCTGTAGCACATTTGATGTTATCGTCGTATAATCAATTAATACCTAATATTTCTTGATTTTATGAAATTTCGTATTCAAATTTATTTTAATATTCTTTCTTCAAATTTCTCATATTGATGTTTTAAGTTATTTGCATCCTTGTACCTACGACTCCTACTACTATTCTTCATCGCACTTACAAAAATTCCGTTGAGTTCATTTTTCAACAGTAAGGCTTAAGTTGTAGTTACATAGTGAAAATTTGATGTCAGAACCTTTTATTATTATTCAAAGGCCAGAACATTCATTAATGTACCGATTTCCGGATTTTCACATTACAAATTTGAAGTGGAGCAACTTATTTTATTACTATCGTCCAGTCAATATAGATATTGTAGAACATATGAATTGGGGCCTAAGATTTAACTAATAAATTAGGATGAGATCAGAAATTTTTTTTTGGTTTTTCGCTTAAGTATATTTCCAAAACGATGCGTCGCAAAATGAAAGCTGAGAGAATCCTCTCTAACTTTCTTATTTTTATACAGAATTGTGGGACCGGTTGTACTCCCTATAACACTTGACCCTCTTTATCTCTCAACCCCTTTTCCAATTTTCTTTCGCTCGCGTTGAATTCATGTTTCACGGCCTCCCACATTTCTTTAGTGTGAAGCTTTGCAGCTCTTCTTTTGCTTCTTCTTGGTTTCTTCCTGATTTCGTTCTATTATTTGTAAGCTTCTCTTATATTCTCCCATAAACGTAGAACCTCTAAGTCCTTGTAGTATAGGAAGTACTGAAAAACGAGTTCGAGTGATATCTGCTCTTTTCTGATTTAAAATTAAAATACCAATTTTCCGCGTAACTAAATATTTTATGCACGATACACTCCAAGCAATTTTTTACACAAAATATCTGTTCACGCCTTATAGTTAAATCAAATTTGCATTAACGGAAAGGAATATTATCACCTGAAAGAAATAAAATTCCCAGCTAATGAAAAAATAACCAAATTATTCTTTGTACGAATCCAATTATAATAAATAAATTCAATAGAAATTTGTAGTGTAACTTATAGATATCGCTGGAAGCAGTGTTTTTCTTGTGGTTTGTAAATGGTACGGCTCTTCCTTGAAAAAGGCCTCCTGCATGAAAAATTGAAAACTGGATCGCTCTTAGGCTGAACACTAAAACTGCGTTACGTATTCTATTTTCGAATATTCGCACAATTTTATACAAGCATTTAACTAGGCCCTACTACAATTCAGAGTCATAGAAGCTTTATATGTGTTCCGCGAACACTCCCTCTTCTCCCTTTAATAATCTGTCTATATGTAGTTGCCCGAGTACAATAGCGAAAGGAAACCAAAGCAATCAAGCACGTTGTGATCTAAAAATCTGCCCGTATTTCACACCCGTCCCCAAATTATTCTACGCAACCTCGCAGCTAGCCGGGACCACTATTACAGCTCTCTTTTAATATTTAACTGATGAAATAAATTTAAGGTTCAACAATCTTAAAGGAATCGGTTTATCCCTATCTTGAATACAAAAAAAAGGTACTGGCATGCTATATTTATCGATTTATCTTTCTTGGCAGACACTCGTAGTTAGGGGAGGGGGGCTCTTTACACATAAACATTTAAAGGCCGCCTGGAATAGATTCTAAATCTACGCTATATAATGCAAGAAGAATTAAGCCCCTAGAGAAATTTTCTGAAATATTGAATACTTCTTTTAACATTTTTGAGATATTTACAATTAAGTTTTTACATCGCCAGTAGATATGTTTAGTCTAGACCACCGTTTCTCAAAGTGGGGTACGCGTACCACTGGGGGTACGCCATTGAATGATAGGGGGTACGCGAAAAAATTTACGTAATGGTGGCAGCTTACAACAAGCGTGACGGCGCACGGGCAAAATCGCACTTATTTATGTGAGAGTGGGGTTTCACACCTGGTCATGTTAAAGACGTATAGGAATCGACTGAACGCCGAATATCAATCAAGACTAAAAAATTGAGCAAAATTGCTCCGAGAATCGACTCCATTTGCGAAAAAAAACAAGCCCACCCACCACATTAATTTCAGTAGGTATAAGGTAGCTACTTATTGAAGTGAAGGGTTGTAGGGTGAGTAGGCTCAAATTTTTTTGAACCTACTCACCCTACAAACCTTCACTTCAACACCACCTAAGGCCGAAAGAAAAATAAACCTTTTAGTAGCTACTTATGTTATTTTTTAAATTATTTTATTTTTTATTAAAAATAGTTCTTTTGTTTTTTTTAAGAAAATACCTTATTTGTTTTCCCAAATTTAAAACATGATTTTTTTAATAAAATGCCTACCTGTAGTCTGTATTCTTTAAAGGGGTTCGCCGTGGGCTTGACAGTCTAATAGGGGTACGTGGAACAATTAAGTTTGAGAAACCCTGGTCTAGACGATCTTTCCGCTTTTTGTGATACTCCTCCAACACTCCGTTCTGCAGACATTTACGCTGAAAGTTTTGGTGTCGCCAATTAATAAGTATGTCTCGTCTAGGCCATTCATTTTGCCTTTGATAGTATTCGCTCTTAACGTTTTCACATCACCAATGGATATATTTCTGTCAGACGTCTTTCCTATAATTCGAACTACTCGCGTCATGTCCCACAACTCACTGGCGCCGCCAGCTTTTGCACGCATTCAAAAAGTATTTCAGGACTACAAAATAAAAATAACTTCAGATCTTCAACCGGAAGAAACTCTTCATTCGACATAAATTCAACAATCAAACTAATGGCATGACATAACCTTACTCTCGATTGTCGAGATTTGAAGAACGTACAGATAGAACCTAAAAGTCATCACTACGTCATCTTAAAACACAATCTTCTATCCTGCAGTGTCTGAATCCTTAAACTCCCATTACATCCCCTACAGGCGGTGCCAGGGTCTTAATCGTTCCATCAGGTGGCATACTACACAAAAAACCTTACATATCACCAGTACCCGTGTCTCCTCGCACCACGGTTCCCAAGCTGGAGAGTAATCCTCGAGCTCGTCACCTAGGGTACTACCACGTGTAAGACTATCATTGTCCAAACTCGTCACAAATTTCCGTTAATCCCGAATTCGCCCTCTAAACTCCAGCGCTGATTTGCTGTTGTTTAGTCGCCCTCTACGACAAGCAGTGCCCTCTGCTATAGGGTTCTTCCTTCCCGCTCCCACGCGTTTAAAATTATATACAAAAGCCAAAAAATTTAGGACCATACTGGAAAGTGCCGTTACAAGTGGCCCGGACTTTCTTTTTGGTGTATTTAAGCCACACAATCGAAATACAAATTTTGTACACAAAAAATTGGCGTGGCAATTTTCGCTGACCCCTGGACGTAGACATATAAACAGCGGTGAATTAATACGATACGAGAGCATCGCTCTTAATAAGACAGGCCGTTTTTTAATCGTGCGAAAGTATATCATTATCATAAATTCTTAATCCTGCCTCTTGGTTTTCGTATGTTTTGGCGTCATGCAGTCTAGGTTACTACATTAGCTTCGGGCGAATCTTCAGTCATATAAAAATACACCGTTAATGCTATAAAAATTAATTTGACTATTCTTATCGGGTGATTCAGTACATTTTTCGAAGGTGTAATAGTTGAAACGAAACCGGGAGAAAATTAAAATTTGATGTGCCTATAGGATGAAAATAGTAAATGAAGAACAATTTAGAAAGTACATCTTGTCTTATCAGAAAATGATGGGAACTTGTTTGGTATTGTTTCATTTCTGCAAAATATGATGTTAGGCGCACAGCTCTTTAACATCACGAAATCGTGACAAAGAAAAAGCAAATTACAGTCATCATACACATGTAAAAAAAGCATGAACATAACTTGAAGGTAGTTGTAATAAAACAGTCGAAATCAATTCATATGAATATAAAGATAAACGGAATTTTAATGCAAAATTGTTTTCGCTCGATAGTTAAACTTGACAGCATTCTAAACTTATCAAGAACCGATTACATCAACTTTACACCTACTTTCTCTGATCTTCAACATGCTAATTATGTTGGCGGTTAAATTCATTGACGGATGTTAATTAAAATTTCTGTCTGAACGAGGCAACTTAATGATTGCATAAATCGACAGGCATATATTTAAATTAATATTTATTTATTCTGTTTCAGAGCATGAGAAGCAGAAATCGACGATGGCTGCTGGCATGGACATTGTCATCCCTATTCCCTTACATTACGCTATACGAGGTCGCCACCCAGCCGCACGATTACGCATCAAAAAGTAATAAATAAAGGCGTTAATTATTATAAATTAACATGGACGGGAATTACCCTCATCATAATATTACCTTTAATTAACACAATAACTCTCACTATTCGATATAACGGTTATAAAACGTACGTGACAATTTGCGTTACTTTATTTGGATGTTTTATTGATTTTATTAACGATACGGATACCGTAAATTAATCCGATCAGAGCGGCATCCCAAAGGCGCTACCAGTTAAGCCCACGCTATTTTATTAAATTATTTTTGATTACCTACTGCATAACACGTCTTAACTCTTAAGGCATGTTTGTCAGTGATTGTCGAAGAACAGATTTGGAGTTATTATTGTACATAGGCAAAAATAAGGTCCGGGAATTTGTCACCATACACTACAAAAAAAATCGCATATTTTATTGTGCTGTTTAGGTGTTGACCAGCAGATAAATACAGCCTATAAAAACTCTAAAGATAACCGAATGGCCATAAGCGTGCGGAAATGCACAGCTAAAGGTACTTTATATGCTAACACGGAAATTTAAATCTGAGTTATCTAACTGTACCTACTAATAAAGCAGTTATCAAATCGTACAGAAAATGATGATAATTGCATCAAACCCTCCCTTAAAAACTGAGCAAGAATGGGGGAACGTAATGTACCCAAGGAGCTGAGGGTACAATCGTGCTGCAATGAAATGCAGGGCAATATGAACCCCTAAATCATTCAAAAATTCAAAGATTTGCATGGAAGACTTGAACATTCATACTTGACTATAATTGCATACTGCAACATGAAATGACGATGTGGGGTCTGTTGGCTACGGCGTCACTGGATTTGACCCATTTTCAATTGGATTGTTACATGTGGTATATATGTTAACTGTCCAAAGTTTGAACCGAATAGGTTCAAGCGTTTGCCAAAGACCGAGAGGCGTGACAGTTATCGTGTTCACGGACGGATAGACGGACACCATCGACTCCCCTATAAAGCTTGCATCGCTTTGCTCTGCCGCTTAATAATGCAAAAATTGGTTTCCTCGGCGCGAATGACAATGCGGACTCTTGTCACGTGGTAGCTACCCATAAGGTGAGAGAAATTTGTTCACGATAGGAAATGGAAAAAAGAACTCGTATCTCGATAAGTGAGAACTAAATTTGATGGTTCTCCTACCGTAGCCTGCCTTTTAGATTAGTGTCAAATCTTCACCTGCGAATATCTCGAGAACAAAGTATCGAAAGTGGGTAAAGTAGAAAGGATATGAACGAGACGTGTCTGCCTGATGAGTAACATTTAGGCACTCGCAGTATCCACCCATGGGTTTCGATTACTTTAAAAATTGTTGTAACAGGTTCCAAAGGCCCCAAATTGTTTGTTTTATGTTTTTTTCTACAACCATAATAGCTTTGTAATTAGTTTTAGAAGATCCCTACCTTAATGTGGTGTGTTCATAATCGGAGAAAATTTTTACAAGTCTTGGTCGAACAATAAAAATATGATAAAATTATTTCAATGCACAGAATAAATTTCATAATATAATAAGTACAAAATAATAATTTTAGCATATAAATTGACATTTCATTAGGCTTGAATGAGTAGCTCTTTTTAACCGTAAGGGTAGATAAAGTGGAAGAAATCATTGTGCATTCACATCTATCATTCTTATTAAAAATGATATGCGGCGCACGAAATAAAATGAAGTTCACAACAGAATACAATATAATTGTATTGTAAAGGGAATATCCCTTTATCGTCTTGTATGATAATAAATAACTATTTATGTACACACATAAAAACGTAAGCATATATTCGATTTGCACATTGTTGCAACCACTTACTAGGCGCAAATACGTAAACAGTGTATCTACCAAACATTGTGTGTGGGCATTTCCTTGTTGTCCATCCAATTATTGGAGTTCAAGTGATTTCTCAAATTTTCAAAATGTAACTTTAGATTCACAATTTTGTTGAAGTTGAATAAACACCCAGGTATATAAATTTAAAATAATTGCATTATTTTTAAGACTTCCTTTGAGGGTTGCAAGGTCGATTTCATTCCGAATTGTCGTTTCGCGAGAGTAAGCAATTTTATAGCTAAGTATGAATGTCTTCTTTTGATGCAAACATCTGTTATCAATTTTCAAAGAGTTGAGGGCTGATTCCACCCTGTGAATCACATTGTGAGGAAATAACACCCCGAATTGTTTTTAACACCCGCACGTTAGTAAGTGAGGTATTGCATTGGTGTAAAAAATGACCCCCCATTTTTTTGACGAAAATACAATTTTGAAGTCTATCGGTCTGTTCGGTCATTTCCGGCTAAACGGCTGAACCGATTGGAACCAAATTTGGTAAACATATTATAAACTAAAGGGCTGAAAAGCTTTTGGGTAGAATATTGTGTGGGGCTGGTTTCTGTGAACTGTGATAGCCATAGAAACATTTGTTGTGTTGGAAGAAGCGCTTATGGGACGCTTTTTGAAATTTGTTTTCGCGATTTTCTAGTATATGGCGTCAAAGGCTGAAGTGAAAAATGTTCTACTGACAATCTATAGCAGGGATTCCCAAACTATTTTGGAGCAGAGACCCTTTTTCCAAACTAAACTGTGATTGGTTTTTAAAGCATAATAATAGCAATATGGGTATCGTGGGATAGGTCCTTTGTTAGAGGGTTAAAATATATTTTTCTCCAAAGGATGACCTAGTAGACAAAAAAACAAGATCAAAGATGTAAATATCGTTACTTATTCGCAAATTTGAATGGGAAAACCGAATGCTATGCATACTGAAAAATTATGGCCTAACGGTGATCACCAATGGCCAAGTCATGGGCAAAACTATGTTCCCTTTTTGAGTAATAAACTTGATAGGATAATGAACAATTGTCAAAAAATATTTGAGTAATAAAGATTTGATACCCTTTTTTACTTCAATGTTACGCCACTGGGGAAATAGAATTTTATTATAAGGGCCCCGAGTTGGCTCATATCTATAGGGTGTTACTCAATTGCAAAGGGTACAAAACAGGTGAAAAAATTGAGTAGTAGGTATAGAAAAGACCCAAATAAAAAATTGTTTTAAGTAAACTGGACGTCAGAATGTTTCGTGTGGGAGCTACAAAATCAGAAAGTGCACACCGAAAAACGAGTCACACGCAAGATTTTTCACCCTTGTTTAGGGTTACACCAACCTAGAGTAGATTTGATTTTTAGCGTAACACAACGACGTTGAGGTAACGGCACGGCGAGGGGTTAACAAGGTGACAAATATGGTCTACAATCTACACAAGGGTGAATATGGAAATATAGTGAAAATATCGCACAATAATGAAAATATTGTGCAAATACAAAAATATGGTACAAATATGGAAATATAACACAAATATGGCACAAATATGCGAATATTTCGCAAATACATATATAAAAATGTAGCGGAAATTATAGGGAAATATCGATTATGGTATAGACACGTATTTCTGTTTTCCAGTGTATCATATTACATACATAAACAAGTACAAACCTTCTAGATGGAAAATGTATATAAGGCTTTTATAGTCCACGCTAAATAGCTCTAAAATAATTTATTTTCAAAAAAAATTGGTTACCAGGCGAGACCGGGTTTTTCAGGCAGGTGAAATTATTTGAAATTGGGGAAAAATAATTCAAAGAGCTGAATTTTTCCACAGGTTTCCCAGGGGTTGAAAGGGGTGGAAAGTGGTGTTTTGCAAATTGTGGCAAACCTATTAATTTTAGACGAAAATGTTAAAAGTTATAAAGAATAAAAAAATGAACTACTTTTATATCTGCACTATTTTCGCATAACCTCCAATTTTTCTAGAAAAACCGGAAAAACTGTTTTTTTCGATTTTTATTTTTATTATTGCGAAACATTTGTAGGAAACATCGCTTGTTTTATGATAAAAAAGGAAATAATTTTTTGAGTCCGTAAAGTTGAACCGTTTCCGAGATCTCGCGATTTCTGAAAAAAAACTACCACTTTTTCAAGGGGGTAAAAAATGTATTTTTTTTATCGTACACAGTTGTTCCAGGTAGCAACATTTTCGTAAGGATTTATATTTTAATAATCAAAAATAAAAAATTATTCCAATAGAAAAATTTCAAGAAAAGCGGCAAAAACTGGGAGAATAGTTTTAAGATATACAAGGTTTTTGACATAGTAAATACCACAATACACGTATCGTGGTAAATGTCCAGCTTTTTTTGCGTTTACTATTGGATCCGCTCTAATAAAAAGTTTTTGAAATCTGTCTTCTTTCTCCTTTTTAATATTTTCTTTTGTTTCCTAGTGCCCAACTTATTATTTCTTTTTTCTGCATTTTTACCGTAATAAAAGCAAGTAAAATCGAATTCATTTGCTTCCTGAACAATTATTTGTTTTTGTTCACTAACTCTTCTTCCAGCGTGGGCTTGGTGATCGTTAATTTACAGGAATTATGAATAAAATCCTCATGAAGTTTAGTCCAGGTTTTATACCTCAAATCATTTATTTCTTTGGCCGGTAAAACTAACATCCTTATTGCAGATTTTGCAAGTTTATCAACAGGCCCAACGCAATTACATCAGCTGTAAAACAGTCAGGAAGAAGAGTAGTGAACAAAAACAAATTGTTCAGGAAGCAAGATAATTCGATTTTACTTCGAATTGCTTTTATTCCGGTAAAAATGCAGAAAAAAGAAATAATAAAGACGTTTTAACTAAAACAGTTGAGCATAAGGAAACAAAAGACAACATTGTAGCAAACATTAAAGAGAAGCAAGAAGACAGATTTCGAAAAAATCTTTATTACCACACGTTGATTTAACACGTGGCGACTTTCTCGAAGTTTTCCTATAGGAATAATATTTTTTTAATTTTTGTTTATTAAAATAGAAGTCGAAAATTTTGCTACCACGCGCATCGATGTACGAGGAAAAAAATAGATTTTTCATCCCCTTGAAATTTCAGAAATCGTGAGATCTCGGAAACGGTTCAACATTACCGTTGTCTCCTTTTTTATGATAAAACAAGCTATGTTTCCTCCGAATTTCAAACCCCTACAACTTTTTTCACAAAAATAATAACAAAAAACGAAAAAAACAGTTTTTCCGGTTTTTCTAGGAAAATTGGAGGTTATGTGAAAATAGTGCAGATACAAAAGTTGTTCCTTTTTTTATTCTCTATAACATATATATTGAACATTTTGGCCTAAAATTAATAGATAGTGCTGTGGCCCCACGTTGGGCGCCAATTAAAAATGCTGTGTGCACCGTACACAAAACACCAAAACAAACCTAACTAGCTCAACCTTTATCCTTCTCGGAACAAAACTTCTCCCCAGCACAGAGGAGGAATTCGACTCTTTTCTCAGTTAAACCATTACCTTCTACCAGACAGTGGGTTAGACCAAATACCTTAAATTCCAATTTGAACTTTAAGAATTTTGAATAAATAAAATGGACCTTGGGCAAGCATCCAAAGAGAACATTAAATTAAAGGAAATGAAATCGTTCGAACGACATACACAGAAATTAATGTGAGAATTACAAATTTCAGTTTTAATGGTTACACACAATAAAAAAAAACAACAAGACAAATAAACAATTATGACAAAGAAAATTAAAATTAAAACTTATCTACTTACATTAGGTACATGTCCAGAACTGCTAATCCAAATACGGTACACAAAAACAACAAATTTCAAATTACACAAAAAAAAACTTAAGTCGGCGCCGACAACACCTTAGTGACGCACTTTATTAAAGGCCCAAACTTCCAAAAACTCCTCGAAAAAAATGCCGCAACACAAACTTGCCGCGAATTCGATTTGTTACTCCGTACAACGGAACCTCTTCTAACTTTCAAAGCTGGTTGGCTTCAACACAATACAAAATACGGCGGTAACTCGCCGAAGCGAAATAAATTTCTTCACTAAACTCAAAAACTGCCCTGACTGGCAATAAAACTGACGATTAAACTTCAAGGCTCCAAGACAAAACTTCAAACTTCAGCAGACGTAGATCTACTCTCAATCTCGCAAAACGCTGATTTCAATTTTCAAACAAACGTAGTGCCGCTCTGAACTTGGCAAAAAGCTGAATCACTTCTTCGAAGAAACGTAGTTCTGCGTTCAACGTGGCAAAAAGCCCTTCCTCTTCTCCGTCCGTTCTATTTAAAGTGGAAACACTTCTTCCAAAATTACAAATTAAAATAGCCAATGATAGGCAGTTGACAACAGAAAATTTACCCCCTAACGTACGTTAAACTAGAGGTAGAAAATTATTTTTATAATCAATTTTTAACCGACATTAAGAGATAACACAAAGCTTAAAATTCTAGAAAAAATAAAATTTTCTTTCTTTTAAATACAATGAAAAGGCGATAAATAACATCCACCTGTCAATCAAATTAAGCGTTTACAATGATAATAGAATAAAAGCGATATAAAATTCTCGGAAATTTACGTTAAAGAAAATTAAAAATGAACTTAAAAATGTACACAAAAACAAACCTTGACCTCTTTCTCGTAACAATAATTTTTGTTGAAGTACTTAACCAACGACACAAATCAAAAATTTAGATTATGAAAATTAATTACATAGAAAATAGGAAACCGCCCTTGTCCATCCTAGTTATGAATCCCAAAATTTTGTCCTGCCAGACGAAATAACAGAGCAATAGTTTTGCCACAAATTGCAAAATACTACTTTCAACCCCGGGATTTCACCCGCGGAAAAAATCAGCTGTTTTAATTATTTTTTCCCAATTTCGAATCATTTCACCTGCATGAAAAACCTGGTTTTTAATCGGTCACTAATTTTTTTGTCAAAAAATGTTATATATTATAATATAAAAAAAGCTGCTGATACCTCAGCTAATACGACTGCGGTATCTAAACCTGCACAGAATTACACACGACGAGGTTCCAAACTAGTTTTTTCAAGTTCATCGAGTGAGCCGAAAGGATTTAATTGTCTGTAGGTATTACATTGAGCCCGACTCCGATGATTATGCTGCACCGCAGAATAATCCCAGGAACGATCAATCAGAGAGTCGCGCCAGGTAGGTAAGTATCTCAATGTGTAAATCCGGATTTTCAAATAAGCAGAATTGAACATATGAATTCAATTTTGCTTCTCCATGCTACGTACAAAGCTCCAGGAGAATGCAATAATGACCGTGACTATCGTTGGATATGATGTGGATCTCGCTGTACTTTTAATTACCTCCCTGCTAAAACCTGGCCTAGGGAAAACCAAAACAATGCTACTATTCAGCCAAGAGATGCAGCATCTTGGATTTCACCACATCTTGTTTTAACATTTTGACATTTATTCACTGGTGGCGACACAACATTCGCATCTTACAAGAGGAGCAAAGTGGGGTTTCTTAAAATTGTATTTGAAATCAGATGTTATGTTGTTAAGGCTGGGAAACTATGCTTCCTCAAATGGTCTGCGGGGCCATCAACACAGACCTTCCTCAGTCAGTATACCGTTCCGATCATTTACGAGGTCAGAGGCAAACATGAAGCCTGACATCAGCTTCCTCCCACCAACAGAAGGCGAAGCTAAGCAGCATTCCCGACACGCTTGAGAATTAGCTGCCTCCATAAGATTGGGGGTGGAATCCTGAAGGAGGTGCCCTAGTGACAATTTCGCACTACAGAAAAACCACCAGCACCAAAGCTCCTAGAGAAAATAATATTTTACCGCTGCATTAATGATTGTGTCAGTACCAAATGTGATTGCTTAACTGTTCTGCGGCGTGCCTCCACTTTCAAGGAAAATGTTTCAACAGTAACCCTGTTTTCGAGGCCGCCCATGAAGAACTACCAAAAGTCCAAAAGTAGCAAGTTTAATGAACTTTTATTGAATATAAGAACAACTCAAAAATTGTAGCTTGCCCCACCCCTCGGTTAGCCACCTAGGCGTCAGGACTTTTGTATGTTCACTACCTAAGCACTCCTTCTTTGACTGGACTACTCAGGAACATACCTTGACTGCATCTCATCAGGTACCTAATTTGCTCTCCAAAGAGCACAAAACAATTTTTTCACTCGGTTTTTTTAACCTGTTACCTCATCTATCGGCACTTATCTTGTGGATTTCGTTCGGAACATGTTTGCAAACAACTTCTTGTTGTGTTTATAGAAGGGATATCCACGTCCTCCAAATACACAAAACACTTTTGGTCGAAAAACCAATGGTGCTTGGGCCATCGCACAAATGCTGTGCAAAGGTATACAACAATGTCACTCTTTGATGTTACCTATCTTTACGGCTTTATCTAGCTATAATGCGACAAAATTCACCTCATGAGTGGATTAGTGGACATAGGACAAATTCGATTTTGACTGCACTTTACACGTGAAAGTGGAATCACGATAAAAATCTACTAATGAAACTACTGGTGCATTGTTCTTGGTACAATGAAAGTCGTTAACAAGCATGATTGGGTAAAACTCCCTAACACGATACAAAGCCCTTAACGATGGAAACGATTACATTTTGCATTATTCAAACAGTTATCTTAATAAGATAGAAAATTTGGTTTTCATGTTAACAAAAGTAAGCTTAAATGTCACCGAAAAACTTTCACCTAATTTTTCCAGGTGTCCGTTTCGACGCACTTTTAAAATTTCACGCATATGTAAGTATCGACAGCTTTAATACCATAAAAAAAACTTTCCCACATCTAAAGGTTGCGTGTTGATTTATTAAGAAGCCGTTGACATTGAATGGGAAGAAGCAGTTAAACTGTAAGTCTACGTATGGGTTAGTGTGTCAACCGAGAATTGAATAAAGAGTACTAATTGATACTAATTCGAGTTTTGTTATACTAACACTTATGTATTCTGTTGCCTGGGTTTATAGTGACTTACGTTTTTGCAGATCATTCTAAGGAAGCGCGTGGTATTTTTACTCCTCGCATGGATTACGATCAGTGGACGCCGTTAGGGAGAGGGGATCCCCTAAAAAACGATCCCACGTACGATTACGTTCCACCGGTGTTAGACCGCGTTCATTACTGGATAGAACCATCCTCAAGAAAGCCAGACTCTATAACAACAGGCGAAAGCCAGAAGACAGAGATACTCGTTTTAGGGGTGTCGTCTAAAAAACCGAGCACCGGCACGTCGATATCTGCGGATTCGCGAAAAGACACCTACGATCCTTTTTTGAAATTTGTGGAAGGACCTAAATTTGGACTTCAAACCAATTACCAGAGGATGTCGAAGCCCACCTACAACTACTACCACCAGCCGAGCTTCAAAACCAAAAACAAGATTGAAGGTTTGGTATCAAGCGAAGATGACCGTAGTATTCCGTACACGTTTCTAATGCCACCACCTGTAGAACCAAAGGAGTCGAGTCTGGCAATATTTCCTCAAACACTAACGTCGCCCCCAGTAACGGAGGGTCCCATCACCACATTTAGTGTTACGAGCCCATCCGGGTTTACAGTGCAACAATCCAATTTACTGTACCACTCCACAACAGTGGGAGACCAAAATCAGTTTCGAGATCAAAATTATTTTGGAACCGCCGGCGCGTCGAGCAGTCAGGTTACCTGGAGGTCCCCACTTGCGAACTTTAATCCGCAACAAAACGATAGCGTAACGTATAAAGAAAATATTATAATAGACAACGTGGTGCCCATTTTGCGCGATACGTCCCAAGTGATGCACAAGGGTCAAGTAAGCGACGACGATCTTGATATCGCTAACACATACGTGAATATTGGAAAACCGGAAGCTCAAATGCATTCGCCATCTGACATGAAGATTTCAAGTGTGTCGGTTGAGCCGCCCAGGGCTTACAAGCACTCGCCGATCTTGTTACAGCTAGTAAACCCAGACATGACCATTTCCAAACCGACGCCTATGACCATGCAAACTATCCACACCATGCAAACAATGCACCCCCCGCCAGTCGTACACACTCCAGTATTTTCAAACTCACTGCATAGTTTATTGCAAAACGAACTCACGACAAATACGCCTAAAGCGACTCCATTCAGGGTGCCTTCAAGCATAACTTCCTCTCCACCGGTTACGACTACTACGTCTCTAACCACCGACCCACTTTTTAAGCATTACAAGCAACCGAACGAGCCACTCAGAGGTCCCATGTATCTAATCATACAAGGCCATTCAAAAGTAAAAACCTACGGCCCCAGCAAGCAATTGCACGGCATTTCCGTTCAAGAATTAAACGAAATTCCAACGTCGGATGATCAGTACGTAGTGAAACACTTACACGGTTATAAAAAGGAATCCAACGAAGGTCGACTGCGACAAGGAAGATCTAGCATGCTACAAACGCTGTCGCACGTCGTCCAGACTGGTCTGGGTGCCATAGATTTCTCAGAAAACGAGGCGAATCGCAAGAAAAATGACGTACAGGAAACTGAATTTGTCGTCAGCTATGACGTCTCGTCGCAGGGGGACGTTACAAGCGAAAGATACTACAAGGGAATCGTGGAGGCTGGAGACATGGCTAGAAATATTAAGAATGGAATAGGTAAGAGGTAATGTTCTGATTAAATATTAGGATTTTCATTTTTTTACGCATAGATTAAGTTAAATGTAGGTTACAAAATCATTTCTATAAAGTGCTTTAATTAAGCAAAAATAAATTATTTATAAAAATTGTTTATTAATAAATTTAAGGAAAAAACCGTCGCCGTCTCGTCTGTTTTATTTTTGTAATATTAAATACGTTTTCAAGATCAATTAACTCAGGATTCCAGTTACTAATAATTCTAAAAAGCTTTCGAAGAAAACAGCACGTCAATCACAAATTCCGAGAATTAATTTCTAGTGTAAAACATAGAATACTGTCGGATGTATAGTGCTGATGACACGACACTGCCATATAAGAGCTCATCTGTCAAAGAAGAAACTCGGTTGTCATATTATCTTCCTTATTTGATCAACCGCATTCATAAGCGTTCCAGGGTATTACGAAGGCGTAATACTTTTTCAGAAGGAATTGTGCCAAAAGTCGCTAAACCCCAAATTGAGAAAAGTGCAACTTGCGTACAAGGTAGGTAGGTAAACGGCGTATTTTTTGTTACATTATTGCAAATGAAGTGAACGAAATAAAATGATATATCAATGAAAGTTAGTGTGTGTTAGTATGTCAAACTCAATCTAATGCTAAGCACGCTTATGACTTTAATTTATAATCTAGTTCTGCGCGATACAAAAAATATAACTAATGATTTCCTTGCTCCACCACGGGAAGTAACACATTTGGAAATGTTTGTTTTTATATAAACGCTCATATAATTTTTCACGGATATAGGTATTCAACGTGCACGATATCTACCAGGTTTATGCTACCACCACAGATATACCTGTGCTGCCACTTTGCTTTCAATTATATAGTTTTGTATTGTCGCCCGTGTACGCTATCATGATCACTCTTTTTAAATGTGGCCGATTGTGTTGAAATTTGATGCACGGGTACTTTGGGCATTAAGCACGGATGCTATTGGTTTTCAGGAAGCTGGTTCAACAGGAACAAAAGTTATAGGACTTGGAGTGAATTGGGAACAGGAAAAACTGCGAGTTCAATACTACAATAGAAATCAACATATTTCATTCCCTAGGTCATGTATCGACTTCGCATGTTCAGTAGATTATACCCTATGACCCTTAGATGTGTATATGTAATTCTTCTCTGTAGTCTAGGTCAAAAGTTTTAGAGCAAAATGCACTCAAAATTATTTTTTACACATGAATTTGGAGTTTGTAAAAGCTTTCAAGCGCATTGTCTTGATAATGATAACCGCGTGTCTGTGATTCAAAGATGTTCAATTCTTTTTCTGAGACCACGTGGATTTTGATCAAAACATGTAAAAATCGTTACTCTTGCACCGAGATCGTTGGGAAAAAGACCAAGAGCATTGTCTCAATGCCCAAGACACGACTTTGATGTATTTTTATAGACCACATAGATTTTGATCAAAATATGTCAAAACGTTATTCATGCACCAAGATTGTTGGGGAAGAGACTAAGGGCATTTTCTCATGCCCATGACATGGATTTGGTGCATTTTTGTTAACTATAATAACTATAATATGTATTTTGTAAGATTAAAATAAATGGTGGTTAAAAAACGGATGTTAATACTGAGCATCGCTTTATTTTTAAAAGATTTCAATTTTAGCAAAACGGCTTAAAATTTTCCTTCAGGTTCGAAAACCAAATTTAGGATCTGTATTTGCACACACGTCGTCCATCCGATATAAGTTATTTTTAGGCTATCATCACAAAAGCGTTGATTTTGTGGTCGCGTTTGCGGCCATAAAGTTGAACTTTATTGTACGCTTCTGTCAAACTTTACTTTATTGTACACATCTGTCAAACTGTAGGTACCTACTTATTTGAAACTGATGTGTGAGAAACAGTAATCTGTTTGATACAAAGCGTCTATCTGGTCTAGCCCCATCAAGGATTGGGCCATCCACGTGAGTTTTTTTCATTTTCGGACTTGTAGGAATGTTTCACACCATTTTGCATAATCACAATGTTCACATTTAAAATTATAGTTTGACGTTTCAATCTTTGCTGCTTGCAGACCTTTTTGAAGTGTAGAACCAAAACATGAGGAAGAGGTTATTGCTTACATTATTATACGAAGAATCACCAGCAATTAACCGAGAACACAAGTAGCTGCATGTACCTACCATCAAAGTAGGTAATCAGGTTTCTAATAATTGTACAGCATGTTAACTATAAGGTCTTGGAAGCCACAGTTACGAAGGACCTATTGCATTATTAAAATTTTGTACAACGGAGGAAGTTGCGATTGTACCTTTACTCTCAAACGCCTGCTCTTATATCACATATGACTTAGGGTCGCAACGCTTGCAGCTTCCAAAATTTCATTTGGGGTATCTGAACTGTCGCTATCACCCATTTTGATACGCACAAAACACACGCAAAGATGCTAATTATAATTTATTACATATGACAGGAAATGCTTTGTTTTTAATTGTCTAAGATCACTATGATTTTCAGAAAAAATATGTTTATTAATTAAAAACAAAGCATTTCCTGTCATATGTAATAAATTATAATTAGCACCTTTGCGTGTGTTTTGTGCGTATCAAAATGGGTGATAGCGACAGTTCCGATACCAAAAATGAAATTTTGGAAGCTGCAAGCGTTGCGACCCTAAGTCATATGTGATATAAGAGCAGGCGTTTGAGAGTAAAGGTACAATCGCAACTTCCTCCGCTGCACAAGATTTTAATAATGTCAAATGCGATAGGTCCTTCGTAACTGTGGCTTCCAAGACCTTATAGTTAACATGCTGTACAATTATTAGAAACCTGATTTCCTACTTTGATGGTAGGTATAGGTATAGCTACTTGTGTTCTCGGTTAATTGCTGGTGATTCTTCGTATAATAATGTAAGCAATAACATCTTCCTCATGTTTTGGTTCTACACTTCAAAAAGGTCTGCAAGCAGCAAAGATTGAAACGTCAAACTATAATTTTAAATGTGAACATTGTGATTAATGCAAAATGGTGTGAAACATTCCTACAAGTCCGAAAATGAAAAAAACGCACGTGGATGGCCCAATCCTTGATGGGGCGAGACCAGATAGACGCTTTGTATCAAACAGATTACTGTTTAGTGTTTCCCACACATCAGTTTCAAATAAGTACAGTTTGACAGATGTGTACAATAAAGTAAAGTTTGACAGAAGCGTACAATAAAGTGAAACTTTATGGCCGCAAAAGCGACCATAAAATCAACGTTTTTGTGATGATAGCCTAAAAAAATTTATTTATTTGTTACTCAGTTGTAAACGTTGATTAATAAGACAAAACGCAAACGGGTAAACGTCATCTTTAAACGCTACTGACTTGTAAAACTGACAGCTGACCTGTAAAAATTTTACAAGTTAGTAATCTAGTCATTTCATTGGCCAGAATTAATGCGAAGTCTCTGTTACATGGATAACATGATATTTTAGACATTTCTTCGAGATCAATTTAAGAACTAATTATTTACGTTTAGTATTGTTTACAAATGAGTAACAAATAAAATATTGTACATTATACGCCAGGTAATAGTTTTTACTGGCTCCAGGAGATGACAGGCTCGCCTGACGGCTCGCCAGTCAACTTCTCCTATCGCCAGTAAAAATTCACTTACCTGGCTAATAATGTAAAATACTATAATTTTTGCATTTAGTCTACTAGTGCAGTATGCAGATAATTTTGACCTGCAAAGGGTGGTGTAAAAGATTTTATTGTTTTAAATGGTCCATTTGGGTCCCAATAACATGTATTTGAAGAGTGCATACCAATTTCTTCCCGGCACAACTTTTGGCAGCCAAAAAACCACAACATGTTTGGACTTTTTTCAGTTTTTCGCTTAAAACTTAAAAACGGACCGTTTTATTTTATGAATAATACTTCTTTAGTAAATTAAGGGAAACAACATTCTGCGTCGACCAAAAGATGAACAAACAATCGGTCCAATAGAAAAATATTTACAGGCTTTTTTTTCTAAAAAACTGAGTTGACCTTTTTTTTAATGCGCTGTGGCTCCTAAATTAACTATAAAATCCACTACCCCCTCTTTAAAGATTGTAGAACATAAATCAGAGAGTTCAAAAAGTACCAAAAATTTAAAATTGGACCAATTTTTGAAAGTACCACTAGTTACCACTTTTTCAAAAATGGGATTTTACCAAATTGGCTCTAGAGGTGGTTTTTTTGTTTATATTTTGACACTAAACTATACGTATAGAGCAGACATGGGGCAAAATAAAATTTTTATATGAGCCACGGGCCTCAGTTGAAAATCCAAATAAAAATAAGTATGTTTAAAGAAATCAATAATTATCTATTTCATTTTGGTCTTGAGCTTGACTTATTTTTGCTTTCGTAAAAATCATTTTAAAAAAAAACAAGTACTCCTGAAAATTGACACGATTTTGCATACAAAATGTACCAGATGTGGATAATCAATCCCCATATTCAACTTGTATCCAAATTTTCATTTATGCTCTTAAGATTTGTTGCAATATATAGCTCCAAATGCTGCTTAATCCCAAAACACGTGTCGTTTTATTGCCCCACCCGGTACATATCGCGACGAAAATTCTCGAAAAACCTGAAATATCTCTGAAACAAGAAATGCATCTTCAAAGTGGCTTTCAAACGTTTTGGAAGCTTCGGATCGTGTCTACTAGATGCTGCACGTGTAACATAATCATATTAATTAATTAATTCAAATTTTTAATGTAACTTGGCGGGCCGTATGAAGTAGTAGCTATGAATTATGTTACCGGACAAAACATATCGGCGGGTCGGATCAGGTCCGCGGGCCGTGGGTTGCCCATACCTGGCTATAGAGCATCAACCAAAGTTCAACTATTACCAACATTTTTTAATTGGGCGAATTTGTAGACATAGTTTATCCAAAAAAAATAGTAGGTACATAGTTTATTGGCTCGAGTACTTGGTCTGAATATGGAAAGTTTCTTTACCAGGAGTTATAAAGGAGAAGTAAACAAAGTAAACATTTTTTTAATCCTGTATTTTAATTAAACTTTTTTTTTCTATACAAGAATAACTTTTAACATTTGTGCAAATTTCTTCATGAGCGCACGTTTAGTCGTTGTCCTGTTCTGGATTCGTTGTCCCCTCAAGT